TAGGGAGGCTGCGAAAATCTATCACTCGTACCAGCAGCGTTTCTCAATCACGCTCCAACGCGCGCAAGCATCCGCGCTAGCTGCCAAGACCTTGACGGCGTTTACGGCTAGGTCAGCCCCCACGGCCTTCCAGGGGGAGCCCCTAAGCACGGGAGATCTCATGCACGTGCTCGAGCCCGAGCTCGAGATGCCTTAGTTTTACCTTGCCTTGTTTGTATGGCTGTATCACGAATGTGCTGTACTATCTTGCTTATTTAATGAAGGACCATTCGAGTGTCAACGGGAGTTGTGTGTTGGCCCCGTCCTCGCTTGGGCGGAGCCGACTTCGTGGTCGGGTGTGAGGGGAGCAGCCGACCTGCAGCAGTGGGCGAGCTGGTTGACGAGGAGGTCGACCTGCACGGGAGCCACTGCACGGGCGCCGACTTCAGGGTGGCGCCGACTTCAGGGAGGTCGACCTGCGGAGGGCGTCGACTTGGTGACGCCAACTTGGGGCAGCCGACTTGGGTGGTCGGCTGACAGGACTACTGGTCGACCTGGTGGTTGGTCGACCAGGTCTGCTGGTCGACTTGGTGGTTGGTCGACCAGGTGTGATGTTGACCTGGTGGTCGACCTGACCTGGTGGTCGACGGAGGAGGGGCCGACGTCGACCTCAACTCAGGACGCCGAGCAGCTGGGCGTCGAGTAGCAGGGCGTTAACTTGGTGACGCCGACTTCGGGTAGCCAACTTGGGTGGTCGGCTGACAGCTGCGCTGGTCGACATGGAGCTGGTCGACCAGGAGTGCTGGTCGACGTGGAGCTGGTCGACCAGGAGGGACGTCGACCTGGAGCTGGTCGACCAGGGGTGTGGTCGACCTGGTGAGGTCGACTTGGGGTGGTCGTCGACTTGGGAGGTCGACGGGCACATACAGGAGCAGCTGGTCGACGTGGTTGCCAGGTCGACCAGGTTACCTGGGTGACGAGGTTCTGCGGAGAAGTGCGACGGTCGCCCAGGCGAAGTTGACGAGTCCGACCTCGGTGGTGGTATCCCGAGGTCGACATGGCTGATCAGATGCAGTCGACAGCGCCAATTTGGCTTGGTGTGTGCGCTGTGCAGGTGACAAGGCTCAGCGTGCCAATCATCAGCGAGCACCTGCGAAGCTGGTGCGATGCTGTTCTGCGGGAGCAACGCTGGCACGCCGTCAACCTGCAGTGTTGGCACGCCGTCGACATTGCACTGCTGGAGCGCGGTCGACCAAGTCGTGCTGGAACGCGGTCGAACATGTGGTGCTGACAGTCGACCGACCTGAATGCTAGCTCTGATGTAGTCTTGCCATGCCAACTTCATTGTACCATTGTTGTAAACTTTATGTAGTGAAACTCTTGCCAAATTGCCCCGTGAACTAGCAAGCAGTGTGTGCACTAGGAAAACGACTAAGGACCAACGAACGCAGAGATCACACGAGCACCCGTGCCTAGCCCGTAATCTAGCTCCCGTTGTAGTAGTTATCTCCGCAATCTGTGCTGTGCGTCGGTGTCCGCGTGCATTGAGGTTATTTTTGAGGCGCCTCAAAAAGTATCTGTGCTGTGCGACGGTGTTGGACCTTCGCTTGTAGAGAAGCAGCATGGCAACAGCGAGAAGACCAGCGGCAAGGAGAGAGAGGCAGTTAAGAAACCTTCCATAGTGGTGGAAAGCTAGAATCACCCCAACATCTACTACACTCCCACATCAAATCACCAAATGACTTTTGAGTCGACTCAAAAGTCACAAAGTGGTAGAAAGCTGAGATCATCCCAGCATCTATTGGACTGGTACATTGCATAACCAAAGCTTCACCTCTCTGGACCTTCGTTTGTGGAGAAGGCTGGACCTTCGTTTGTGGAGAAGGCTGGACCTTCGTTTGTGGAGAAGGCTGGACCTTCGTTTGTGGAGAAGGCTGGACCTTCGTTTGTGGAGAAGGCTGGACCTTCGTTTGTGGAGAAGGCTGGACCTTCGTTTGTGGAGAAGGCTGGACCTTCGTTTGTGGAGAAGGCTGGACCTTCGTTTGTGGAGAAGGCACACGGCAACAGCGAGGAGTGCAGCAGCTAGGACACCTCCCAGCAACAATCCCAACGATAGCTCCCACAGACAGAGCAGAGGAGGGAGGAGGAGGAGAAGGAAGTGCGGGAGGAAGGGATGAGGGAGGAAGGAAGAGGTGGGGGAGGAAGAGGTGAGGGAAGAAGAGGTGAGGGACCAACAATAGCTCGCACCTGCAGTGGAATTTCGTCTGCAGAAAAAGAAAATGCCGCCGGCAAGCAGAGCAGCAGCTAGGGCACCTCCCAGCGCAATCCCAACGATAGCTCCCACAGACAAACCAGAAGAGGCAGGAGGAGGAGGAGGTGAGGGAGGAGATGGAGAAGACGGAGCAGGTGCTGTGGAGGGGGAATCAGGAACAGGAGTGCAAGTGGAGCAAAACTCGCTGCACGTCTGGCAGAATTGGGTGGAGCTGGTCTGCTTGACCGTGCAGGACTGCCCAGCTCCTGCGGGGCAGATGTGCCTGCTCCCGTCCAGCACACTGGCGGGACGGGACAGGGAAAGGAGTGTGAGAAAGGAGAGTGAGAGGATGGAGGAAGAGAAGGGAAGAACTGGGTGGAGCTGGTCTGCTTGACCATACAGGATTGCCCGGCTCCTGTGGGGCATACGAGCCCGCTCCTGTTCAGCACACTGGCGGGACGGGTGTCATGGAGCGGGAATCAGGAATAGTGCAAGCGGAGCAAAACTCGCTGCACGTTTGGCAGAATTGGGTGGAGCTGGTCTGCTTGACCGTGCAGGATTGCCCGGCTCCTGTGGGGCACACAACCCCCCTCCTGTCCAGCACACTGGGATGAGAGAGATACATGGGAGTGAGGGAGGCGATTTTGTAGTTGACTAAAACACCGGCTCCTGTGGACCACCTTTCAGCTTACAGTCTTTTTCTAGGCGCCTAGAAAAATACGCTTACAGTGTAGTGAGGCGAGTGAAATTCCCAAGGGTGGGCGGAACGATGCGAGATTCTAACCCCCCCTTCCAGCCCCCCCCTGCCCCCTCCCCCCCACCTTCCCCCCCTCCACCTTGCAGCTTACAGGGCAGTGAGCTTCACGAGATTCCCAAGGGTGGGAGGAACGACACTAGAGAGAAATTCTTGAGGCGCCTCCAAAAATAGGTTCTACACTCCCCCAAACCTTGCAGCTTACAGTGTAGTGAGCTTCATGAGATTCCCAAGGGTGGGAGGAATGATACCGGAGAGATTATTGTAACCAAGGACTCTGCAGGGTGATTGAGTGATTTCATATGGATAGGGCAAAGGCACACACATAGTAATGAAATCACTTTTGAGAATTCTCAAGAGTAATTTGTTCAACGATTGTAACTAAGAACTCTGCAGGGTGGGTGAATGAGTGATGTCGTTAGGGCAAAGGAACACTCATGATGGTATTAGGGGAGACTTGAGTGGTTTGAGTCGTTAGCAAACACTCATGATGGTATTAGGGAGAATCGACGATGGCAATAGACTAGAGCGAATCAATGATGAGATTAGGGTGATTCTAATACGGTATAATGTGCTGCATAACTACTCCTCAGCACTACTCACTGAATGTCCTTTTTGAGACATCTCAGAAATGATTGGACAGAGAGGGCAGGTAGAGGACAGGTAGAGGAATGGCAAGGCAATGCATGCATCACGTGCCGCAGAACTACTCCTCAGCACCACTCAGCACTACTCAGCACTACTCAGCACTCCTCAGCACTACTCACAGGGTGTCCAGTCTAGTAAGGTTGCCAAGGTTGGTTGGAAGAGAGCCCGATAGCGAGTTGTTGGCCAAGTCACTAACGAGGATGGAACAGGAAAGGGGGAGGGTGCAAGAACAGTTTGAATTGAAGCAAGGATCAAGGGTGATGGCAGATGATTAGGTCGTTTTCTAGAGTTTTCACAAGGGTAGAGGCAGTGAAATGATGAGAAGCGAATTCTTTCGAAGCACCTAATAAAAGCCGAGGGAAATGGGGGCGCCGAGTTATGTGGAGCGGAGCGGTAGGGGCAAATGGGAGGGAGGAGCCGAGTGCAGAGCTTTATGGTGGTGCGAAAGAGAGAGACAGAGAGAGAGACATGGGGGCTTAAGGGATGGAGGTTGCCATGGATAGCACTGCATGTTTGTACCCCTGCTGAATCAATACAAAGGACCGTTTGAGAGAGGGGACGAAACATTATACAAACCAAGAGTGGCTCTTCACGTTCACATCTGCCCACCTACACACAGGCATCTGTTTTTTTTACCTAGGCGTCTCAAAGTACCCACCTATCGGCCAAACGTCAAACGTACATCTTTGTCAGAGACGTGAGGAGGCTTATATTGGAGCAGAAGGATCCATTTAAGCCCTGATCGTGGGGGAGACTAAGGGCGGTGGAGGCAACGGAGGGGGGAGAATAAGGAGAGAAGGGGGCTCAGCCTTGATTTACCGTCCTTGCAACAAGAAACAGTCAAAAGGCACATGAGAGACACACCAATCAGCCGTTTTGCGTTCTGAAACGTTTTTGAAACACCAAAGGCTGAGCCTCTGTGCATCGCAAGGGTGGTTTCTTATCTCTGTGCGTCGCGAGGGTGGTGTCAAAAACCACCTGTGTGCTTTGCAAGGGAATGTATGCATACCCGTCGATATCATATCATGCCATGCCACGTCATGCCATTCCATGACATGCATGACATGCATACCCTGCCCTGCCACACTCACATGCCATTAATGGTGCAATGTGCAATCACGGTCACACATGAGCTATGTTGCATTGGCATCATGCCATGCGTCCTCACATGTCGTTGGCACAGTGGTACACTCATATCACATGCCATGCCCTTTCCAATGTGTTGATATACTTGTCCATGCCATGCCATGCCATGTCGCACTCACATGCCGTTGACGGCACTAAAAGGGTCGCATGTGATCCACGAGTCCATGCTGCATGGCATGCGAGAATAGGATACTACAAGCCATCCATCGGGTGGGGCATGCAATGCCATTGCACTGCCATGCAAGACGCGCATACCGTTGTGGACACAGCACACTCACTCACATGCCGTTGACGGCGCCAAAAGGGTCGCATGTGATCCACGAGTCCGTGCTGCATGGCATGCCAGGATACCACATGCCATCAGGCACACCCATCTCTCTGCCACATGCCTCCAGAATTGCGCCTTGTTCAGCTGTCACATTGAACGATGTACCACCTACCCCCGGTCCTCCGCCTGCCCCCCCTCCTCCGGGCGCTCCCCCTTGCGCTGGCACTCCTCCGCCAGGCGCCGGCGCAGTGGGCGCAACGGGTGGCGCAACGGGCGGCGCAACGGATGGCGCAACCGGCGGCGCAACGGGTGGCGCAGCGGGCGGCGCAACGGGTGGCGCAGCGGGTGGCGCAACGGGCGGCGCAACGGGTGCGGGTGGTGCAACGGCAACGGGTGCGGGTGGTGCAACGGCAACGGGTGCGGGTGGTGCAACGGGTGGTGCAACGGGTGGTGCAACGGGTACGTTCCCCAGAGATACGTTCAACGCTTGTAGGTACCGCGCTTTCCTTGGAACGATGTTTTCATTTCCAAATGCTCGTTTCCTTGGATTATTTTCGATTCCAGACGCCTGTCCGGCAAACAGACTACTAGTGACCAGCAGCCACGCGCAGACAACGAGAGCGAGAGGCAGACGAGGAGTTAAATGGAGATTAAGAGTCCCGCGGCGATGAGTTATTAGTAGCGGGACTAATGGCGACTCGGCCTCCCTGGAGGATGCGAGCAGCCGCGAAACCAGGACTGGCGCTGGGACCATGATCATATCTTGGAACTTGCACTTGGAAAAGAAGCACTGGCGTTTACGGGCGGTCCGCCATTTACTCGCAAAAGGAGCGGTTGTAAGCACGGGTCACGGAGCTACTAGTAGTGGTAAGCAGTTTTGTCACGACTCAGTGACGTGGCGTCGCGCGGCGTGATGAATCTTGAGAGAAGCCGAATCTCGGAAACAGAATATCATATTCAATAACGGTAACGTCAAGACGGCACTGGCACTGTGAATGCCAGCCTTGAAGCTGCCTCTAGAGAAGGCGATTAACGATAACTTATCGCCCGAATTTACATCGATTAAATCGAACTGTGTACACGTACGCGTGAGAACGAAACTGCCGCGTCAAGTTAAGAGCAGCAGAAAAACGGTCAGTCAGTGTTGGCGATTCGGACGAAGGATGAGAAACAAAATCGCTTGGGCTGCTTCTCGGACAACGAAGCTCAAGGTGTGCGCAAGAACGACTCTCGGAGAGTATCTGTCCAGCTCACTGATAGTAATCTCGTTTTTGGACGCAGACCGCGTGTGAGCGCAAAAACGAGATTATCTGTCCTGCGTGAACTCACTCTGATAAGAAATCTAGGGTTACACCGAGGCATTCTGTTCCAAACGGAAGGAAGGCTGACGATGAGAGCATGACACTCATGAGAGTGACGATGTGGAAGATGAGGAAGCATTGCTTCACAGCAACAGGCAGGAATCGAGTACTACTCTCAGAAAAAGGCTTCTTCCTGACTTGCATCATTTCCCATTCTGCTGGTTTGCTGCCGCCGATGTCCAGAATTAGTGGGAACTTGGCTAGGCAACAGGTTACCAGGATTCGTCGCAAGCACGTGCGGGAAGGTTTTAGCATTCATCGCGCAAGGCGATGGCTGCGGCGACTTTGTCGACAGTCTGAAATGCATCGCCTTGACTGGGGTGGGTGGGTGGGGTAGCTCTGTAACTCTGTTCTGCACTGGGCCTTGACATGTCGCAAGCGAGCCTCGCTGATTGGCCAAATCAGACAGTTTGGCAGGAAAACTATTGGCATGGCACTTGACGAACTGTACTGCCAGTTCCGTTAGGAAAACAATGCCCGAATTTCCGTGCAACAAAGATAATCACACAACCTCCGCCACACCAGCCATGGGCCATGGAATTCGCCATAGTCATGATGACATGACCCATTCGTCCCTCTGTTGCTGCTGTGGCCTACCAGATTGCGTCACGACACGAGCCAGCAGGCTTTCGGGTACAAGGTGTAAACGTGAAACATGCCAAGGTTACAAATGCCGCACAGGATAAAAGAGAAATTTATGCTCAAGCAGCAGTTAGCTTTTGTTGACCAAGGATTCCTCAAGACACAAGGCCAAAAGACCTCAACCTACAACCTACCATTCTGGTTGAAGGCATCAAACTTCACGAACAGTGGATGGAAAGCGAAAGTATTTCGAAGGTGTAGAAAGCAAGCAAGCCACGCTTTGATATGAGCAACAGTGCCAAGAGAGCTCACACACGGACCGTACATTAGGTAGATACTTCAAAATTCGACCATAGAAGTGTGTGGTATTGTCTGATGTATAACTCCAATTTCTCTGACAGAATGTGACGTCGTATCAATAACAGGCACCAGAGATCACATCAATGCGCAGAAACTCATCATCCAAGCTCTGCTCCGGCTGCTGCAGCAAAAACTCTCAAAACCGGTTAGATGCACGTGTCAATCACATGCGCCAGAGATCACATCAATGCGTAAAAACTCATCATCCAAGCTCTGCTCCGGGTGCCGCATTGCAACTTCCTGGTCGATGCTCTCCAGCCGCGAGTCGGCCTTCGATGGCGTTTTCTGCAGAAACTCCTTTGAGAGAGCGTCCAATCTCGCGGCGACTTCTCGCATGTGCGGGCGCGAGGAAGCAGGCATGCCAGTGCATCGTAACGCAAGCTCAACGACTTGCAGAAGCAGCTCGTTAGGAATGCTGTCGAGATGAGGGTCCTTGAGACCTTGGGCGTCTCGATCTTGCACGCGGAGAGCAGCCTGAAAAGAGGGGAAAAAAGAGGAAAGGAGAGAGACGTGGAAAAAAATAATGCGGTTGCTAGGTAGAGGGTGGATGAGATGTGTGAAAGGAGTAGTGTGCTGAGTGAAAGGCGTATCATTCTCACAAACGGCACACCAGCTGCTCACGAAAAAAAAAAACTACGGTCTTGATAAAAGGTTACAAGCAGTGTTCTTCCCATGTGTACTGTGCCATGCTCACCCAATCCTTGATGCTCGTGTTGATGCCCTTCTCTTCCACCACAGCAGGCCTCGTCAGCATGACCTCTAGCATCAACACACCAAAACTGGTGGAGAAACAGGGGGGGAGTCATGGCCTCAAAGACTTCTTGAGAGAGAGAGAGAGAGGAAACAAAAAAAAGGCTTGACAGCAAACCTCGTCAGCAGGATCTCAAACCTTGACAGGCTTGAGAGGATCTCCAGCACCAACACCAAAGCTTCAGTGCAAATGGGGGATACAAAAGTTCTCAATAACTTTTGCCTTGATAGGTTAAGAGATTGCCGAAAGGTTATAACTTATGGCAATGCTTAATGAAGTTAGGATGAGTAATGCTTGACTGCAAATGTGCAAATGGGCGTGGCCTTGTTGGTGCGCCTTTCTTTTTTCTCCTGCTTGCTCTCCTGCCTCAACACCCACCTGTGCACGTCAGCCATGGGCGTGGCCTTGTTGGTGCGCGAGTAAGCAGGGTCCACATAGCCCGGAGTGCCGACCACTCGGGTGGGATTCACTGTGGTGCCTTCTGTCATGCGCACCAACCCAAAGTCTGACACCTTTGGCTGGTGGGGGTGGGTGGGTAGAGGGATGCGAGATTGTTGATGGAGCAATATCGTACCCCAATTGAGTGCGAAAGGGTTACAGGCGTGTCCTGGAGGGTAATGGGTGTGCTGCTGCTCACCACATAAACACCTTTTTTAAAACCAGTCAGTAGCAGGCTTGGCCAACAAGTGGTATCAGAACCAGAGGTCTCGAGTTCGAGTCCCAATGTGCGCCAAGTGAGCGCCAGTGTCTTAACAAGCCCCAAGTGAGGGGAAGAAAACTCTAGTGAAAGGGATATTGTTGGTGGGGCATTCAGATCGTAGGCATTCAAATCGTACTTCACCTAAGTGTGGGAGGGCTACAGGTGCGTCCTAGGGGGTAATGGTTGTGCTACGCACAAAATAAACACGTACTATTAACCGAGTCGGTAGCAAACTGGCCAACAAGTGCTATCAAAGCCAAAGGTCTTGAATTTGTCCATACAAATTACTCCTACCTGCATTTTGGCATCGAGCAGCACGTTGGCGGGCTTGATGTCTCGATGCACGATGTCAAACTGGTGGAGGTACTCCAACCCCCGCGCCACCCCCACCAGCACATCCATGCGCTGCTGCAGCGTCAATGTGCCCTTTTTGGGCCCTGTGTTACGGTTGGTAGGGTGCGAAAGGAATTTGTAAGAACCATGTCAAGGAAAAAAAAAAAAAAAGGGTAAATTGAGGAAAAACATAAAGTCTTGAGTAGCCCGAACTAAAGGTCGAGAGTTTTGATCTTGGACTGGTAATGAATTCATCTAACCTAAGCACTTTTCTCACCGCCACTAAGGTACTTCTCGAGGTCTCCATTCGCGCAGAACTCATAGATCACGATCTGCTCGTGGTGCTCTGTTGTCATATCCATGTCCACACAGTACCCCAGCAGCCGCACCAAGTGCGGATGACTCTTTGTTGCCATCTCCTCAACCTGCATGGGAAGCAAGGGGATGAGGAAAGACAGGCGTGACGGGGAGTGATGTGCTGGTGGGGTGCGTGAGAATATTTTGCCTCTTTGATGCCATCTCCTCCACCTGCACGGGGAACGGAATTGAAGGGAAAAGACAGCATGCGGGCAATTTATTCGTGAGAGTAATGAGAAGGAGAGGAAGAGAAAAGATGTGGTAAGAGTTGGATAAGAGTAAGGAGAGAGAAACTATGGGGGAAAGCAAAAGGCATAAGTAACTACTATTTTCTCAATAATAAAAGCAGATAATGTTGTCGTAGACAACAACAGTTATGTATTACAGGTAGGAATAATAATCATATTTGTAATAGTACGAAAAATAATATAAATGGTGATATTATTAGTAGTATTATTAGTAGTAACCCTAATAATGGTTACTATCATTACGATTACTACATAGTTGTTACTTCTATTATTGAAGGTCTTCCGCATATACCTTGTCTTGCCTTGTCACCTCTTCCACTCTCTCACCTCTCGTCTGAAGTCATTAGTGAGAATCTTGGCACGCTTCACAGCCCACACCACCGACGGGTCACCTGGCCATCCATTGTACAGCACCGCAGTCAACCGCTTTATACCCCACCCACACCACACCACACTCACGCACCTCTCGCCTGAAGTCGTTGGTGAGAATCTTGGCGCGCTTCACAGCCCACACCACCGACGGGTCCACAGGAGAAACCCCCCGATACACCTCGCCATACCCGCCCGACCCTATGTGGTTCCCCTCTGCCCAGTTGTCAGTGGCCTTGGCCACAGTGGCAAAGGAGTAGCGCTGACACATGAGCGCCTGGCTCGGCACCACTGACAAGTTGCTGCCTTCTGTCGCATCGCCAGTCACTTGAGTGTCATTTGGTTCCTCTTCCCGGCCTGGTTGAGTGTGGTATGGTATGGGATGGGATGGGATGGGATGGGATGGGATGGGATGGGATGGGATGGGATGGGATGGGATGGGATGGGATGGGATGGGATGGGATGGGATGGGATGGGATGGGATGGGATGGGATGTGTCTCAGGAAAGAGAAGAAAAAATAAAGTGGTGAGAGCACTCAGAGACAGAGGTATCGCTCTGTTTGGTTCATTTGGTTGGTTGGCGTATAGATCGCTGACATGAGAATTAGCACTTCTAGTTTTGAGGCGCCTCAAAACCAGACTTCATTTGGTTGGTTGGTGTTTAGATCGCTGAGATGAGAATTAGCACTTCTAGCAAGAGGCAGCTTTGCATTCACTTGGCTGGTGGATCACAGTTAGTTGCAATGAGAGGGAGGAAGAATACGAGGAAGGAAGGGGCGTATTGTGAGTCAACTCGAACTTCAGTCTTCACTTGGTTGGTGTGCAGCACCGCACAGCACCGCACAGCACCGCACAGCACAGCACAGCACAGCACAGCACAGCACAGCACAGCACAGCACAGCACAGCACAGCACAGCACAGCACAGCACAGCACAGCACAGCACAGCACAGCACAGCACAGGTAGCTGCCATGAGAGCGAGAACTAATCCACAGCAGAAATATCCCTCATAATTCCTCAAAAACACGTGTGCACACACACACATGGGTAGCCTTCCATATCCATTCACTTGGTTGGAAAACAGCTGCTGCGATGAGAATGAGGAACAACACGAGGGAGAGATGATCGACATTGATTGCCCAATAGGCTCTCTACGTGCTCCCACCAAAAGAGTGACCGAGAGGAGTTGGAGGACAGAGCAGGAATGCGTACAGGTTAGACTCTAAGTCGGAGAGAAAAATCGAACACAGGATTTGAAGGCCGTATAAGGAGCCGATGTTGGGAGGCAAGGGCCAAGCCAATGCATCTAGTTTTGTCGTGTGCCATTGTAATGAGGTGACCTTTGAGTCGACTCAAAAGTCACAGGATTTGAAGGCCGTATGTATAAGGAGCCGATGTTGGGAGGCAAGGGCCAAGCCAATACATCTAATTTTGAGACATCTCAAAGCTTAACAGTTTTAGCAGCTGAGAAGAAATGTGTTGCGTACAGGACTTGAAGGCAACTATTGATGAGGCGTCTTGCAGAGTAACAGTTTATTGGCAAAGAGCAGAAACGCGTACAGGGTTTGAAGGCTGGATAAAGAGCCGATGGTGGAAGGCAATGCACCCTCTAGAACGTTGTATGAGAGATCGCTGTGAGCAGGAGAGAAGGGAAGAGAAGGGATGGAGAGGCGGAGATGGGTTTTGAGTCGTTTGAGAGGTGAAGAAAGATGGAAGGCAAGGCACCCACTAGAACGTTGTATGAGAGATCGCTGTGGGCGCAAGAGAAAGGAAGCGAAAGTTGACTTTTGAGGCGCCTCAAAAGAGGTCGCTGTGGGTGCAAGAGAAAGGAAGCGAAAGTTGGGAAGAGATGGGAAGAAAGAGAGAGGGAGAGGGAGAGACGCTAATGGTGGAAGGCGATAGACCTTCCAGGACGTTTTCTGAGAGGTCGCTGCGGGCGGGAGAGAGCGGGGGTTGGAGAGAGAGGGGGAGAGAGAGGGCGGGAGAGAGATAGGGAGAGGGAGAGATGGAGAGAAGAGGAATGGGGAGCGGGAGATGGGGAGAGCACTGCATCCTCTGTAGCAGCGTGGTATACCATGACTCATGAGAGATTGACTTTTGAGTCGACTCAGAAGAGGAATGGGGAGGGGGAGATGGGGAGAGCACTGCATCCTCTGTAGCAGCGTGGTATACCATGACTCATGAGAGATTGCTGCAAGTGGGTGAGAGGGAAGGAAAGATACGGAGAGGGTGCGTTACGGGGAGGGAGCGAAAGATGGGAAGAGGGAGCTTTTCCTAGAGGGAACAGGGATGCTGGTGGGCGGAGCCGTATGTTGAGGCGCCTCAAAATATTTTGAGGCGCCTCAAGATGGGAAGAGGGAGCTTTTCCTAGAGGGAACAGAGATGCTGGTGGGCGGAGCCGTATTTTGAGGCGCCTCAAGATGGGAAGAGGGGGCTTCTCCTAGAGGGAACAGAGATGCTGGTGGGCGGAGCCCAATGATGGTGACTGAACGGATAAGATAATATAATGAGTCATCCATTCACTCGCTTCACCAGTCACTGCACGCATCCTTTGCTCCTCCCCACTCTAATCGGCTGATCCCTTCCTCCTCCTCCCTCCTTCTCTCACTCACAGTGTCTTCAGCAGGGGAAGCCGCCCTATGCTCGCAGGAACGGGGCCTGACCGAAGCTTGTTCCAAATCTTTGCGTTTTTTTCCCATTCCACCCTCCACCCCATAACCAGCTCACTGGTATCCCTTCCTCCTCCTCCCTCCTTCTCTCACTCACAGTGTCTTCAGCAGGGGGAGCCGCCCTATGCTCGCAGGAATGGGGCCTGACAATGAATTGTAGCTCAGGTCGCTGGTGGTGGGGCGCGGGTAAGAGGGGTGGAGGGATTGCGGGGAGAGTGAGTGGCAAGGTGAGGGAAACGGGGAAGCTGCCCTATGCTCGCAGGAATGGGGCCTGACAATGAATTGTAGCTCAGGTCGCTGGTGGTGGGGCGCGGGTAAGAGGGGTGGAGGGATTGCGGGGAGAGTGAGTGGCAAGGTGAGGGAAACGGGGAAGCTGCCCTATGCTCGCAGGAATGGGGCCTGACAATGAATTGTAGCTCAGGTCGCTGGTGGTGGGGCGCGGGTAAGAGGGGTGGAGGGATTGCGGGGAGAGTGAGTGGCAAGGTGAGGGAAACGGGGAAGCTGCCCTATGCTCGCAGGAATGGGGCCTGACAATGAATTGTAGCTCAGGTCGCTGGGGGTGGGGCGCGGGTAAGAGGGGTGGAGGGATTGCGGGGAGAGTGAGTGGCAAGGTGAGGGAAACGGGGAAGCTGCCCTATGCTCGCAGGAATGGGGCCTGACAATGAATTGTAGCTCAGGTCGCTGGTGGTGGGGCGGCGGGTAAGAGGGGTGGAGGGATTGCGGGGAGAGTGAGTGGCAAGGTGAGGGAAACGGGGAAGCTGCCCTATGCTCGCAGGGATGGGGCCTGACAATGAATTGTAGCTCAGGTCGCTGGTGGTGGGGCCGGGGTTGGGGGGGGAGAGGGAGGGAAGGGGGAGGGGAGTGAGCTAGGCGGGGGCAAGGGGGGAAGCCGCCAAATGCTGGAGGGATGGGGCCTGAGAAGGACGGGGATGGGGAGGGGGTTGGGGGTTGGGGGGGGGGGAAGGGGGGGAGTGGCAAAGGGAGCGGGGAGAAGGGGAACCGCCCAATACTTCCAGGGATGAGGCCCGACAGCGAGTTGTAGGAGGGGCGTGGCAAGGCGGAAGCGAAGAATACAGGGAGTAGGAGAGGGGGGGGGGGGGGGTGGGTTGAAAAGCAGACGAGCTAAAAAAAGACAGGGAAATCTGAGAGTTTGGGTGATGCGAGAATTGATTGAGAACCCAAATTCATTTAACAACATTCTATGCATCTCACAGTGTAACCAGCGTAGTGAGGTTGCCTATAGCGGAGCAGATGCTTCCTTGCAGACCGATACCAGACAGCTCACTGCGGGGCATTGCAAGAACGACACGGGAACGGCGAAAACAGGGAGGGGAAGAGAACGTGCAAAAAAAACTTGAGAGAGTGAGAAAAACAGGAATCTAAATGGGGAAGAAGGAAGTCAGAATGCCACATGTGCGTGCATTTCGGTTTTGCTCCATTTTAAACGCATCACAAATGTGCGTTCGGTTCGTGCGTGTTTTAGGTTGACGCCATAATACCCACTTCACTTGCGCGTGCAATTCCGTTTCGTGTCACTGCCACCACCTCAAATGCATCATGGATATGCATTCGTGCTGCCTATTGCTCGCAGCAACCCCCCGTTCAGCGAAGCATGTTTTCCAAAACGAGCGTTCGTTTAAAGGATGGAAAATAAATATCTCGTCTGCCCGACCCAGCCCTTCATTCAAAGCACAGTGCGCGTATGGCGTTTGTTTGTTTACTGCCTACTGTGTGTGCGTATACGATATGCACACACACTGTTCACAGGTCGACGACACAAGTCCGCTGATGATTGGAATAGCCGGCCAGGTTCACCACTGCGGATTTATAACGCGTATAGAGTGCTGAATAGTCGCTGTAGTAGACAACTCACATGGTGTTGACTGTTCCGTCAGCGTTACACACCAGGCCTTCGTCCGTCGTGCACGGAGCGTTCGGTTCCCAATTGTAATCCGTCGCACCCAACTCCACCGCACATTCCGCCAATACCTTACCTGGACACCCACCCAGGGAACAGTGGCGGGGATGACGAGGGAGAACCGGAAAATGATTAATCAATGTAGCATCAACGTGAGTCTATGGAGAATTATTAAGATGAATGGTGTTGTGCATCGCTTTTGAAATCACGCACACTGAGGTTCACTCAGAATACGCTCAAAGGGTGCTTTTGAGATGATTTCACAAGCCCTGTCTGTGTGTACCGAATGAAATTTAAGTCACACTCGAAACGGATATAAAGGCACGCGCGACACAAGCACGCGGCGATACAAGCACAAACCTTGCTCTTGCTCCAGGACCACGGCTACGGAAACTGGCGAAGAAGTTAAAACGGTCGAGCAGACAAGGAGCGGCAGGAGCAACGAGACACGTGCTAACGAAGCTAGGGATTGCCGTCCTCTGCGCCGGAATACGCGATATGCGCAGATACCGCTTCGATGCTGTTGACATTCTAGATCCCCGGTTACTGCTTTCTGGCAATCATGGCGATTAGCAGTGGATGTATGACGCAACCGCTGCTGCTGCTGCCTCGATCTAGATGCGCTGCTAACATCTCCACAACTTAAGTTCAACACATTCTGCGAGCGCGTTCTGCACTGCGAAGCGTCGTCCATGGCGCCTACTGGCACGCGTACTCGACTTTTCAGGTCACGAAACCTGGAATATAGCCTAAGAAGCAATAAGTAGCAGCATCACTCAAACAGTAATAAGCATCCACGGCTTTCGCACAAGTAGAATCTTGCTTCGTGACGGTCTAATGAGAGGTCTGTAAGTGCTACTAGCAGACCCTCGTTATCCTGAGCTGCTTTAGCAACAGGACTCACCGCCGCGCAACACTGCACCATAGGTGCTTTCACGGTAGGAGTTTTTGCGCTATCAAACGAAAGTTACAATGTGGTGCTT